GGATATTTGGTAATGTAGGGAACCAGGACAAACTCTCACATTTTTTTCAAACCCTTTACAGGACATACTTTTCTCACATTTTTACGTTGCTTAAAACAAAACAAAACCAAAAATGTACCACACTGTGCCCCATAATGAAAAAAAAAACAGTTGTATGATAACTGCAAACATAAGCAAATAAATAAACAAATAAATAAATAAAAATTGACATAAGCAAGTAATAAGAGTTAAGGGTCTGACATTTTTTTTTGAAAAAGTGTGTGTTCTTTTTGTTTTGTCTTTTTTTATAACATAAAAAAATATCGTGGGAATCTCTTATTATGTAGGCATTGTTCCTATAATTCAATTCTAATGATCAATTTAACACATCATGGTAGTTTGTTTTATGAATGATTTTTTTAAAATTCAGTTTCATTTAATTTGCAACATTTATTATATTTAATAAATCCATTTTTTATTGGTTGTATTTGCCATTGTTCCCAGCGATAGGCAAAAATCCAGCAAAATGCTTTTTGTTCCGGCGGAAATGTTGACGCCATGTTGTTGTCACACAGTACCCGGATGCATCATATAAATGAACGAGCAGGCCTTCAAGCCTTCCTTTCTTGAAGAACCGGAGCGAGCTCGTGTGGCGCGTTTCCTGACTCACCGCTGTTCGCTTTTCAACTATTTCCACGAATAAGTCGGTCAGGAATTAGTAACCATGGTAATTTAAAGTTTTACTAATATTGTATTAACACAGAGAAGCAGTGCTTGTTGTCTTCTGTGTCTGTATTTAGGTGTTCAGCAACTCGTGTACACGCGTGCCGCACCGTGTTTCTGAATCGTCCCGAAGTTGCGCTAAGCCTTGATTTGTAGGCTTGGAGTTTGAGCAATTTGCGATCAGTGAAAATCATGTTTTGCCAAGAGAGTGCTTATGATCTCCTGTTGATAAATTATGACACTGTTTACTTTGTGTGTTATATTTTGTAAAATGGTGTATATGGTTGTAAGAGTACACATTTTATCTTCCATCTTTTTGAATGAACAGTTGTGAGTAACTTTATAAAGATTTTGCAAATGTAGTGATTTGCCCTGCATTTTGTATTAATTGATATATTTGTTATAGAATCCAATTTCAATGCATGTATTGTGTACTGAGTGTTTGAGACTAGCAGTTATAAATGTGCCTCAGACTGTTAAGTAAAATAATTTTATGCAAGATTTATTTTGAAATTTGTATGGGTTCTGATACCCTCTGCTGATACCCTGACCTGTTAAAGTTTTTAGTGGGTATGTCAGCCCTCTGGGTTATAACATAAAAGTAATTTACGAAAAACCAGCAAGTATTTAGTGTGTATCAGAGTTGCGTTGTTTGCACTAAGAAGTTTATTAACCGCATGTATGTTTTGCAGGCATTCAAAGACACTGGTAAGGCTCCTGTTGAGGCCGAGGTCGCAATTCACCGTATCCGCATCACTCTGACCAGCCGCAATGTCAAATCTCTGGAAAAAGGTGTGTTTGCGGCCCGGTGCTCTTGTGGTACTAAATTGATGGCAGTGAGGATAATAATATATGAATGACATAAACATGAGCTATACTATACGCTATTCTGAGCCTTTTTTCACAAAACTCTGATTTGTGTGTCTGAATAGGTCAGACATGTTGTCATTTAAACACTTTTTTTTTTTTCTCTCTATATAGTGTGTGCCGATTTGATCCGAGGTGCCAAGGAGAA